ATATGTGTATGTGTATGTGTATGTGTATGTGTATGTGTATGTGTATGTGTATGTGTATGTGTATGTGTATTTGTACGTGTACGTGTATGTGTTCGTGTGTGTGTGCATGTGTGTGTGTGTGTGTGCACCGATGTCACATTCGTCCACCTTCACCCCTCGCATCTCGTCACCTTAGGCCGCCGTTGCTGCCCTGCGCGGTGTCATGGACGTGAAGATTGAGAAACGTCTCATCGAAAACTCAAAACTCGCAAAGGTAAACGAACACAGCTCGTGTGTGCATGTGTGTGTGTACGTGTGTGCATGTGCATTATGTGTGTATCTGCGAGTTTGCATGGCTCTCGTGTGCTCGCGCGTGCTCGCGTGCGTACACGTGTGCATACGAGCGCGTGTTGTTGTTTGCTCCAATCCCTCCATTCTCACCTCCCTACAATTGCTCCTTGTGTGGCTCCCTCTCCCTCTCTGTGGTTGCTTTGTAGGCACACCTGCACACGCTTGTTGAGAAGACGCTTGACAACACGGAGACGGCGATTGCGCAATTGCGGAAGAAGGTTCCTATTCCCCATCGCCGGCTGCAAGCAGAAACCCGGACACTTGTGGAGGATGGTGAGAACAGAAACAAGCAGCAAAACAGAGCTACCGTGTGCATGCGCACGTGCGCGCTCGTGTGTATGCATATGTGTGGCATATATATGTGTGTGTGTGTGATGGTGTTCGCACTCTTCACCTCCCACCAACTCACCACCTACTCATCACAACTATCATCACCATCACCATCATCATCGTTGTGGTGTCAGCGACGACTGTGCTCAGCGATGCGTTTGAGCGCTACGATGACGATGAATACAGCGGCAACAAACTCAAGAGCATCAGAAAGGTGGGCCGCGTGCTCGTACACGTGTGCACGTGTGTGTGTGTGTGGGGGGGGGTGCGTGTGTGCGTGTGTGTGACACCATGCATCATGGCTACCGACAGCAAACGAGCTCTCATACACACACACACACACACACACACACACACACACACACACACACACACACACACACACACACACACACACACACACACACACACACACACACACACACACACAAACCACCACTCCCCATCACCACGGCAGACTCTTGAGGATGCTGTTGTTGAAGTGACAAACGCGAACCGAATGCACATCACGAGCATGTTTGATACCGCCATCAATGCAGCCGTCAGCACTTTCACCGCGGGCATCAAGGTGTGCAGACTGTTTGGGGCCAAGTGGAAACAGTGCATGTCGCATGTGTGCATGTGGATGTGCGTGTGTGTGTGTGGCGTGAAAATTGGTCGAGGGGAAATAATTCAACGAGATTCTAAGTCCATTTGTATCTGCGAGATGCACAACACACGCGAGCCAAACACGCCTGCTCACACACACACACACACATACACACACACACACATGGTGTCTCGTTTTCAGGCGTACCAGCTGCCTGTCCTTCCAGAAACATTGGAATCCTTCCGCCAGGAGTCGTTTGAAGCGGCGCTAAACGCGTTTAACGAGCGTGCGGATGAAATGCTCGGCAGCGAGGGCGACAGGGAACTGCTCGAGACGGTACATCTTGTTTGTTGGTTGATGATGTTGTCGCTGTGACTGCTGTGCTGTCGCTGCCGATCAGCCCGTGGTCCTGTGATCCTGTCGACAGTTGGGAGGTTGAGGACATAGAGGGGACGTTGATGCTCGTATGTTGCACAGCGGCGACACCGCACTCTCATCCCTCTCCCTCACACCACCATCACCACCACCACCACCACCACCACCACGGTCAGGGCCTGCGCAAGTTGAATGCGAGTGCGTCTGAAGCGTTTGCACAGCTCGAACTGCTGAATCTTCGCAAGCTGGACAGCGCATGCGAGGCGCTGGTCGGGCAGGCCAGGCTCAGCAGGGACAAGGTGGGCGCACTCTGGCATGCTGTGTGATTTGATGTGTTTGACGTGAGATGCTGTGTGTAATGTGTGACGCTGTGTTTGCGGAAAGCCTGTCTTCGCATGCTTGCGTGTTCACTCCACCGCCACTGCCACTAGATGCTTGAGCGGGTGCGTCGGGATCTGATGCGCCAGGACGCGCGTGTGTCGCTGATGACCGAGCTGCGGCAACAGCTGCATAATCTCATGCATGACTCTATCGTTGCAAACGCCCGACACTACGCAGACTCCTCCTGCGGACTGGTCAGTGGGCAGTGTGTGTGTGTGTGTGGTTGTGTGCGTGGTTGTGCATGTGCGTGGAAGTGTATCTGTGGTGATGTGAATGATTGTGTGTTTATCTGTGGTGTGGTGAGTGAGTGTATGCGGTGTGTGTGCGTGCACTCAATTGTGCACAACGAGACGCAATCTTACTTTGCTTTCGCATGTGGTGGCTCTTGTCGCCTGCCTCGACATTGCTCCTTCGCGTGTTGACACGAACAACCCATCGATCAGGCATTTGAAACGCTGGAGAATATGCGGACATCGCTGCGTGCCGATTTCCTGC